AACTAGAAATCTATTGGGTGGGACTCCAGGATCACACCCCGGGGCTGAAGGCGGCGCTAAACCGCTGAGCCACCCGGGCTGCCCAAGATTTTGTTTTTTTGATAAGGGGACAGCTGACACACACTTTTTGCCCACCTTCCCTCCCTATTCTTTTCTTTTCTTTTTTAATTTTTATTTATTTATGATAGTTACAGAGAGAGAGAGAGAGAGGCAGAGACATAGGCAGAGGGAGAAACAGGCTCCATGCACCGGGAGCCCGACGTGGGACTCGATCCCGGGTCTCCAGGATCCACGTCCTGGGCCAAAGGCAGGCACCAAATTGCTGGGCCACCCCGGGATCCCCCCTCCCTATTCTTTTCATCTAGAATATGGATATAATGCATCAAGGAGCAGCATTCATCTTGCAACCATGAGGATGAATACCACATGCCAGGTGCCTTGGTGATATCTGTGAGCCACAACACCCAGCCCTAGAATGCCCACCTACCAACTACTCATCACATGAAGGGGAAAAAACAAGCTATGTAGGCCCTATTAATGGAGTTTTCTGTTACTCAAAGCCAGATACAACCCTAAATGATATGATGATCTAATCACAAAACCTATTGTTTCACCTCCTCTTGAATTCTGGTCATCCACATTAATACATGGTTTTTAGGGAGTTTCCAAAATGGAAAATCATTAGTTTTAAAGATGGTTTCCTAAACATTTAAAGATAATATCTACATTTACAGGAATGTATACTAAATGAAGAAAGATATTTAAGAAAAATTATAATCCATCAATCAAAATAAGTTTGTTCAAAACTGAGCTGAAACCAGAAAACTGTCAAAGACCATTTCAATTACAGACCCAGGATGATCTGGGTCAGTGAAAATAACTGGTCTATTTATCCTAATTGTTGCTGCTAAAATGACCAAGTAAATTAGCTTACTTCAGTAACCTATACTCCACACACAAGCAGTCCTGTGCACCTTGCTCTCTTTCTTGCCTCCAGATCCTTCATGTACATTTGTATAAGCTTGAAATGCACATTAGCATGTTAGAGGTCCTGAGATGTCCTGCAGTAAAAAAAAAAAATCCTGTGAGATTGTTGTAAAACTGTATTTCTCATTTTCCCTTGAGCACAGAATCCTGTTTTCCCCCACTCTGTCCCCCATGCTCTATGAGATGCACTTAGGAAATGAACAATATCATAGACACCAAGAATAGGGACACAGAAGAGAAAAGGGTCATTGCTGGTCTTTTGGTTGCTATTTCAGTTGTTGCAAAATAGAAAGTCTGTCATTGGGAATTAAAAACTTTCTAAAGTAACTGGAAAATGATCACTATCCAACCTCAAATCCTTAATGGGTAAGTTTTCTCCTCTGGGGATCCATGCTCCTTAGATGACTCTAGTTTTGAAGCGATGCTGTGGTTTTTAGTGGGTGCCTAAGGAAGGTGGCACTTGTGGGGTAGCGGAGGGCAGTATTTCCGTAGAGAAATTATTCTTGCCATCACTTCCTTCTAAGGAGCAGCCAGTATGAAACATCAGTACTAAAATGGGTTATCTTGCATCTAAATGCAGGGCAAAGAGGATATAATATCTGTGGGATCTACAAGAGTAGAAGTTGGCAGATTTATTTTATTTACTTCCACTTCCCTTTCTAGTTCATTTCTGGAATTTCCCATAACTACATTTGTATTACCCGGCACTGTCTGCAGAAAAATTTGACTTCTAAAATTAGTGGCTGTAATACTCTCGAGCTGAAGAGTTGCACCACTAAAACACTAACATTTTCCAATTTAAAAACTAGATATTTCCTAAGTTTGTTTTGCCTGCAAAGTGACAATGCCAACCAAGCCCTGTGCTCCCAAAGCTGATCTGATGACCTTTGCCAGCCCAGGAAGAAGTTTTCTCTGATCCATCAGGAAATGAGAAAAACAGTGAGGATGCAATGAGTTTTCCATAACATGCATTCCATTTGAGGCAGTGCTTTTTGAGATTATGTTCTTCCTATAAATTTGGTATTAATACACTAATTTTTTATATTAACATGCATACTATTTTTCTTAAAGTAAATGATGATAAGCGAAGGTAGTAGCTGTATTTAAAAAATCCTTTGGCATAATTTAACTTTGGAAGTCCTGTGTCCCTCCAACTTTGTTTCTTGTTTTTTTGTTTTGTTTTGTTTTTTTGTTTTGTTTTGTTTTGTTTTTGTTTTTTTTTTGTTTTTTTGTTTTTTAAAGTAATCTCTACACCCAATGTAGGGCTCAAACTCACGACCCCAAGATCAAGAGTGGCATACTCCACTAACTAAGCTGGCCAGGCTCCCTGTTTGTTTTATTTGAGTTTAGACATGGCTCCTTGAGCCCAGGGAACTTGTGCGTCTTGTTCGATACTATGTCCCTGTGACCTGTAGAATGCCTAGCAGCAGTGGGCAATCAATACAGTGTCCCAGATGTTAAAAGATAAACTGAGGTACATTAAGCTTTTTGAGAGTTTATCTGAGCAAACTTCAATCCAAATAAGCAGCACCAAACAATGATTGGGAGTGCTGCCCTGAAAGGAGCTAAGGGCAAAGTTTTTATAGAGAAGACTTGGAAGCAAAGCCATTATTTGGTTATAGCTTAAGTGGTTGCTAATGTGGGAAAGCCTGGGTGGCTGTTTGTGATTGGTCATTCTTCAGTTTCATTTTTCTCGGATTCAAGAGCACTGAGTCCTGCTTAGATTTTGGTTTGCTTACTAGGCTATCAAGGCATTAGAACAACCTCAGTTGGCCTCCTTGCTTTATTATTTCAACACTAACCCGAAGATCAGCAGACTTTTTCTAGAAAGGGTTTCCAGGCTTTCTGGACCATTCAGGCTCTGTTGCACTTCTTCAACCCTGATGTTGTGCCAGGAAACCAGCCATAGACAATACATAAATGAATGAATATGGTGGCTGTGTTCCAAAAAGCTTTATGGACCCTGAAATCTCAATTTCATGTAATTTTCAAGTGTCACAAACTATTCTTTTAATTTTCTTTTCCAGCCATTTAAAAATATAATACCCAATCTTAGTTAATAAGCCATACAAAAACAAGTAGTAGGCTAGATTTGGCCCACAAGCCATAGCTTGCTGACCCCGGACTAACCAAATGAAAGAAAGGAAAAGCAATTCAAATCTATTTCTTTAGCCTATTGTTAGTGATGAGTATTATAAATGACAGTGAGGAAACATTTTGCAACTAAAAATGATCAGGTAATATATTCATGAGTATAAAAAATAGTAGATATATGTACTAAATTGATTTAAAAGATTCAATTTCCTACTGTTTCCCAAAGAGAACAAATGAGGAGGAGTCCCACGGAACGCCAACCAACTACCTTTGAACTGGGCTATTCATGGACTCACAGAACCATGTAGTTTTAGACCTAACAGAGATTATGGAAAATCTCCAATTCAATCACATTGTCTTAAACACAAGGAAACTGAATACCAGGGAAGAAAGATACTTCCTCAAAGTCACTTATTTAAAGAATGAAAATAATCTAATAAGGATAGAACCCTTCTGAAGGCAGAATAAAAAATAAAGTTGTGTGATGAAAAAAAGCATCAGTTTCCATCCATAGGTTCAAATACCGGATTTGATGCAATGACTTTGAATCTCGAGCAAGTTACTTAACTATCTGAGTTTCAACGCCTTCATCTTTAGAAGACTGACAATAAGTAATTATCACAGAGAGTTATAGTTAGGAACCAGTGAAGTAATATACCTAGTACTTGGCAGGTGTAATAAATGCTCAATAAATTATAACTTGTATTACTATTATATGAACTTTTAAAAACCTCAGAATGTACCATGCTTGCTAAAAACATCTTGAAATTATAGTTTTTAAAGTGAGCTAAGGGAGTTTTAGTGGCTCAGTGGCTCAGTGGTTGAGCATCTGCTTTTGGCTCAGGGCATGATCCTGGGGTCCTGGGATGGAGCCCCACATCAGGCTCCCCGCAGGGATCCTGCTTCTCCATCTGCCTTTGTCTCTGCTTCTCTCTCTGGGTCTCTCATGAATAAATAAATAAAATCTTTTTTTAAAATCTTAAAAAAAATAAAGTGAGCTAAGAAATGAAAGCCAAATATTTGATGTTTTAACAAAAAATATTTTTATCTTTATTAGTTGAAATATTTCCCTGAATTTCTATTTATAGCCTTCCTGAAAGACAATAAGTGCTTGTTTTAAAACTGAAATCACAAAGTAATCTCACTTTTACTTTAGGATGGAGGGGGTTTTTTGTTTCTTTTTTAGCATGGAATTTGATTAACAGGTCACTGAAACACCCCAAAGATCATTCAACTATGAGAAGCCCTACCCTTGTGAATCTGTATTTAAATTTCTTTTTTTTCTTTTTTTGAATACTTTTTATTCATTCATGAGTCACAGAGAGAGAGGCAGAGACACAGGCAGAGGGAGAAGCAGGCTCCATGCAGGGAGCCCGACATGGGACTCGATCCCGGTCTCCAGGATCACGCCCTGAGCTGAAGACGGTGCTAACCCGCTGAGCCACTCAGGCTGCCCCTGTATTTAAACTTCTTAGCTAAGAATAATTTGGTGAAGATGAAGGATGCAGGGATGCCTGGGTGGCTCAGTAGTTGAGCACCGGCCTTCGGTCCAGGGCATGATCCTGAAGTCCTGGGATCAAGTCCACATAGGGCTCCCTGCAGGAGCCTGCTTCTCCTTCTGCCTGGTCTCTGTGTCTCTCATGAATAAATAAAATCTTAAAAAAAAAAAGATAAAGCATGCAGTAGTTAAAAGACATAGTTAAGAATGCTCTCATATCATCTTTTTTTTATTTTTTTTTATTTTTTTATCATCTTTTTTTTTTTTAACCTGTATTTATTTAAGTAGTCTCCATGCACAACGTGGGACTCGAACTCGAACTGGAGATCAAGAATCACACGCTCCCCCTACCAAGCCAGCCAGGCACCCTTCATCTTTTATAAAATAATGCCAAAAGCAACATCTCAAGCATTAAACAGACGTGAGTTTTAACCACAGCTCTGCTGCTTGCTGGCTGTATGACCACAGTTAATATCTCTAAGTCTCAGGCATTTTAAGTATAAAATGAGAATGACAATGGCACCTACCTCACAGGCTGTTGTAAAAATTAAATGGTAGCATGCACATAAAACGCTTACATAGACCAATGTCTGCACTGTATTAAATGTTCAAAAACAAGTAAAGCAGTAACTAAGTAAATAAAGCTAAATAAAGCAGTAACTGGCCACGTTGTTGGAAGATGAACTCAAATAAATTCCATTTTTATGATCTTTTGTCTCTTCTGGTGGATATGAGATGAAACTGTGAAAAAAACTGATTTTTCAGAGTTACAGTGTGAACCAGAATGGGAATGGTGCTTGAAGCTAGAACTGGTTATAGGTTTTCTCCATTGTTCCACTAAACCAGAAGGAAACCAAGAGCCTTAGGGGTTTCTAGGAACTAGGAACACAGGTTCACTTCAGGACTCTAAAAAAAGAAAAAGATTTTGCTGGTTACTTTGGAGATAGTCGGATCTCATCTTCAAGAAGCTTTCTGGCCCTCCCAATTGAAAACAGCCCACTCTCTTAGTCTCCACTGTTACTCTGTATCTCAGACCCTAAATTGTTTTCGTCAGTGCATACATAACAATTTTAAGTTACTTGTTTGTTTAATGACCATCCCCCACACACATTACCTCTCCCTTCTCCCTACCTCCTCCCCACTCCACTAGAATGTAAGCTCCCTGTTGGCAAGGACAGAGCTGGGACCATGGTTGGTCATGGCTCTCTCCTCTGTGCCTAGAACAGCACCTGCACATTGTAAAAACCCAGTAACTGTCTGGTGAGTGAATAAATGAATGAATGAATGACTTTATGAATGGGCAGCCCTGGTAAAAGCTTCAGGCTTTCCTTAGAAGCATAGAAAGGAAGGGGAACTGATCTTGTGGCTGCCACAAGAGGAAAAGAAAACTAGTAAAATTGTGACCACATAGATCTAGTACTGAAGTTCTGGACCACAACGGCTCAGAATTTCTAGGGAAGGGAACACAGGGAGTGTGTAATACCTGGGTAACTCCAGGTCAAAGGAGTTACACACATACACACACATACACACACACATACACACACATACACACACAAAGAGAAATACAGTTCCCAGAGACTAGGGTACATCAGCATTTGCTAGGTTGTTTGCCATTTCAGGCACAATAATCTTTCTTCACTTGGCCTCTGGGTTATCTCCCACTCATTGCCCTTGGGTCGCCCTTCTCACAGGTCCCTCTTCCTCAGTTTCCTTGGCTCACTCCTCCTCATTCTCCCATCCTCTGAACACTGGACTTTCCCAGGTTAGTTGTAAAATCTCTACTCACACACACTTCCTAGATTACTCCACCTGCCTCAGGGCCACAAGGACCATCTGCATGCTAACAAACATCGAATACCTACCCTGTTTTAACCTCTCCTCTGAACTCCAGACAGGCACACACAGCTTGGCTGCTCAACACTCGACCTGTATACCTAATAAGCAACTCAAACTTAGAAAGGGACTGGGACTGAATTATGTATTTTTTCAAATCTGCCCCTCCCAATGACAAATCCAACTCCACAGGTGCTCAGGTCAAAAACCCTACAAGCATGATTTTCCTCCCTCTACTAAGCTACCTCCAATTACTGCCAAACTCTGTCAGCTGAGTCTTCAGTATGACCCCCCCCATAATCTGAATATATACATGTGATATATGTATATCATATCTTCTTTATCCATTCATCTATGGACAGACATTTGGGTTGCTTCCATAATTTGGCTACTATAAATAATGCTGCAATAAACATAGCACATGAAATCTTTTGAATTAGTGTTTTATATATTGTTTAGGTAAATACTCAGTAGTGGAATTACTGGATTAAACAGTAGTTCTATTTTTAATTTTGTGAGGAAACTTCATGCTATTTTCCACAGTGGCTGCACCAGTTTATATTCCCACAACAGTGCATGAGGGTTCCTTTTTCTCCACATCCTCACCAACGCCTGTTGCTTCTTATTAGTCACTTTTCTGATCCCATAGTATCAGACCAGCATATATTTTAGGGTCGTTAAGCAATTGCTTTTGGTGCCTAGAGTCAGTCTTTTTTTTTTTTTTAGATTTTATTTATTTATTTATGACAGAGAGAGAGAGAGAGAGAGAGAGAGAGAGAGAGAGAGAGAGAGAGGCAGAGGGAGAAGCAGGCTCCATGCAGGGAGCCTGACGTGGGACTTGATTCCAGGTCTCCAGGGTCACACCCCAGGCTGAAGGCCGCGCTAAACCACTGGGCCACCGGGGCTGCCCTAGAGTCAGTCTTTTGAGCAAAAATGTAAATAAGATTACCTCCAAGTTTCTGCCAGTAACCCTTTATCCCAGTCTTGAACAACAATCCCCTCTGGTTTCAGTATCGTAGGGTATACCTTTCCATACCATGAAAGCTACCAAAGCTAAAACATATGTTCCACATAAGAGGAAACAAAGACCTTCAACAAACACCTGTGAAATTCAACTAGGTTTCAGGTGCTAGTGAGGCTCTGGGGAGTCAAGATGAACAGGACATGTCCACATCTTCGAGGAACTCACAAAGGAGTCCAGGTGATGGCAAGAGGACAAGATCTTCACAGTGCAATGACAGAGGGATGCCCAGTGTACTGCAGGGACCAAGTAGAGGATACCCAGCACAGCCTAAAGAGGGTCAGCCAGACTCCCTAGAGGGACTGGCACCTCAGCTGAAGCTTACATAGAGGACTACAAATGAACATACACAGTGGGTCATATACCAGCATGTAGAATGTAAGCAAAGCCGTGGTGGCATGAATCTGCATGCTGTGTGCAGGAAACCACAGACATTTGAGGCAAGTTACTCTGAAGGTAAGGCTGGAAAGGAAAGCAGAGAGCAGGAAAACTTTATTGAATGTAATCAAGGAGTATAATCTTTGTTCAGCAGGAAACAGCCACTGAAGCAGGAGAGCATGGGTGCTATAAGGACATGTTTGGAGGCAGGCCGACTGTCAGGAAGCTGTGGTAGCATCTAAGGAGAAGGTGATACGGGTCTGGATTAGGCAGGAGGAATGGAGATGGGGGAGAAAGGCAGATTTAAGAAACGGTGAGGCAGGAGACACCTGGGTGGCTTGGCAGTTGAGCATCTGCCTTCGGACCAGGGCATGATCCCGGGTCCGGGGATCAAGTCCCACGTCGGGCTCCCTGCAGGAGCCTGCTTCTCCCTCTGCCTCTGCCTCTTTCTGTGTCTCTCATGGATAATTAAGAAGAAAAGAAAAGAGAAAAGAAAAGAAAGAAGTGGAACTTGATGTGAAAGAGACCAAAAGGAGGAGGCAAGGATAAACTTATGGTTTCTCTTCTTGAGTCTATTACCAAGTACAAGCAGTAACATCAGGCAAGAAGATTTCATTTCAGGTGCACTGAACTTGAAACTTTAAAGGAAAAGCATTCATTCATTTATCCATAATTTAAGAGCTACTTACAAAATACCCCTACGTGAATATAGGAGTGTGTAAATGTGAAGAGAAAAGTCTGGACTTCAGAGATTGGGTGTCATTAGCACACGGATGATCTGGAGTTTAACCCACAACGACGGTTGATACAGTACTTGGTCCAAAGGACACTGTCCGTGGGTACCTGCTGGAAAGAACTGAATGAAGATTTACTCTGTAAGAAGAGCAGAGCTGGGAATGAACAGGACACTCCAGGAAATACCAATGGTTCAGGCTTGGGTAAAGGATACAGAAACAAAGTAGTCAGAAGTATGGAGGACTAGAAGGGTGCAGTATCATGAAAATAAAGTGAGATAGGAACCAAGTACACACACATTATCAGGTATTAGAAAGGCTTTTTTATTCTGAGCCTTCTTCCGTTTTTGTTTTTTTTTTAAGATTTTATTTATTTATTCATGAGACACAGAGAGAGCGAGAGAGAGGCAGAGACACGGACAGAGGGAGAAGCAGGCTCCATGCAGGGAGCCCGATGTAGTACTTGATCCTGGGACTCCAGGATCACATCCTGGGCCGAAGGCAGGCACCAAACCGCTGAGCCACCCAGGGATCCCCCTTCTCCCATGTTAAAATTTCTTCAGGAATTATTCCTGAGTAGAAAGTAGAATGGACCTCTAGATAAATCTAGACTAAAAAAAAAAAAAAAAAATAGGGGCACCTGGATGGCTCAGTGGTTGAGGGTCTGCCTTCAGCTCCGGTCATGATCACGAGGTCCTGGGATAGAGTCCCACATCAGGCTCCCTGCAAGGAGCCTGATTCTCCCTCTACCTCTGTCTCTGCTTCTCTCTGTGTTTATGTCTCTCATGAATAAATAAATAAAATCTTAAAAAAAAGAGACTTTTGTCAGCTTGCAATTCAAAGGTTATTTGGGCAATAGTTGCATTTCTGGTCACCAAATTTAATTACCAAGTTTGTGCTATTCTGTGATTTTTGCTTTAAATCAGTTTGAATACTTTTTTTCTCATGGACTATGATTATTTTCTATTCTCAGTGTTAATTTTCTACTGGTGATTTAAACCAGAAGATGTAACTTTGTCACTGTGAAAGCAATTGAATGTCCAGGACCTGGTGGCATCATTTACTTAGTACTACATTCATCTACTGGTGAGAGAGGTGGTGGCTTCTGGTCAATGCCATGTGAGTGTGATGATTACTGGCTGTAGACATCTAATTTTTGTTTGCTTTTTGTTTTGTTTGGGCCTTTGCCTACCCAGCATCCATAACCCATCCTTAGGATAATGGTGTCTGAGTTTGTCTTGGGAAACCATTTCTTCCCCATTTCTAGTCCAGGTGATTTGGGTAGAGTGACTATACTGGGCTTCAAGGGGAAGGCATATGACCCAGGGTGAGATCAATAAAGCACTGTGATGCCCTTGGCTCATGACTGGTTCATGGCCTGGCACATGACCCGATCAGAGGCAATAAGGTAGAATTCTTGGACTTGTTAGATCAACCAGGCCAAAGGCACTCTGTTGAACTTGAAGCTGGGTAGATCAATATGGATATATACCAGGAGCTAACGTGAGCCACCATATAATGGGGGAGCCTGTCTGAGAATGAAACTGATATAGAAGAAAGAAGAGGTGAAATATGAAGAGAGATAGAGACTGGCAAATACTGAAGACACTGTGAACCTAGATCTGACTGTGCCTGAAGCTAGCTAGTATACTGTTGTATTTCTTAGTTATATGAACCAATCAATTCTCTTTGAAGCTTTAGTCACACTTTGTTAGTTTTCCCACCGTTTACACCCAAAAAGACCAAATAAGTTACATAATTGCATCATTATTTTTTCTGCTTTATCCACTAACAGAGAATCAACTGCCTTAAGTCATAGAAACTCCCTTAGCCCAACTAGCCTACGAATTGCAACCCACACTGTGCTCAGCATTTGTAGGTCAGCCTTTCTGTTTTCGTCACCTTTTGTGTCAGCCTCATTCTCTGTTTCTCCTCTCTCTGTTCCAACTCTTGGTTCCTCACCTGATTTCACAGAACCTACATCATTCTATGGTTCTATGGTGTAAGGTCCACTAGGCTGTGATCCTCACTGCTTCCCATGGACACCTCCTGTTTATTGTGTTCACCTCCAGAGGGCTCTTTCCACCCTAGCAATCTGCCTGTTTTAATAACTAGAGGAAGGACTGGAGGACTGGATGGCAGCCACTTCTACCCCGAAGCTTGGAAAGCCCGGTGCTCAATTGTTGGGCTCTGGCCACCACCTAATGCCACCAGTACACTCTGTTCAAGCTCAAGCCTTCTTGGCCTGAAATGCCGTACCTGCTCCTGCTTTTTCCTCCCTCCCCTCTGAGGACAAGTTTAGCCTGATGTTATCCCCAATCTGTCATCTCTGTCATTGCTGTGCCACCCAGGACCTTTGCTATTTCCCCTCAGGGAGCTCTGGGGTGTTTGTGAAATCATACCTTGTTGGTCCAGAGGAATCCAGCTTTCAGACACGATTGCACAAGCACAGTGATGACACTCTCTCTCCTCAAATAGGTCGTTTAAGGTTGTTTCCCCCCTTTCCTGCCTCCAAACAGGCAAAGTAAGTCATTCAAATCTGCCAAGAGAGGGAAATAGTTACCTTCAGAAGTATACAAAAGAATCTTTCCTTCAGCTTTTCCCTGAAACACTGGGAAATAACAGACAGATCAACACTTGTAAGGATGGACGATCTCCTTCCTCTGCTCTTACTACATTTCTCTCATCAATGAGTATAAACCGAGTAGCCTCTTAAGCTCTTGTCATGCCCCAGAAAACTGACCTGTAATCATTTAACCTGAATACAACAAATCTTTAATGAGCAACTACTATGTGCCAGGCACTGGGCTAAGGAAAGGGCATACAGAGGAGAATCATACAGGCAAGATCCCAGCTTCATTTATATTCTATTGCAGTGAGGGTAGAAAAGAGGCAGCAAATAAATGTATGAACAATAAATGTACAAGATTTCAGACAGTGAGAAGTACTATCAAGGAAATGTAAGCAAACAATTTTAGAAAGAGTTATCAGAGGAGGTTATTCTACAGAAGTGATATTAGAGTTAAAACCCAACTGAATAGGGACACCTGGGTGGCTCAGTGATTGGATGTCTGTCTTTGGCTCAGGGCATGATCCCAGGCTCCTGGGATCAAGTTCCACATTGGGCTCCATGGAGGGAGCCTGCTTCTCCCTCTGCCAGTGTCTCTGCCTCTCTCTCTCTCTCTCTCTCTCTCTCTCTCTCTGTTTTTCATGAATAAATAATCTTTAAAAAGGAAAAAAAAACAACTGAAGAGAAGGTACAAACCATGTGAAGTCCATAAAAAGAGTATTCTGGACAGAGGGTCAGTACACGCAAATGCCCTGGGCTTGGAGCAAGCTTGATGTGTTAGGTTAGGGGCCAGTAAGATATGGCCCAGGGACCAATCTGGCCTGTCTTCTTTTTTTATATAGCTTAAAAAGCAAGAATGGCTTTTATATTTTTAAATGGTTGGGGGAAAAAAACAAAATAATATTTCATGACATGAAAATTATGTGAAATTCAAATTTCAGTGACCATAAACAAAATTTTTATTGGAAAGCAGCCATGCTCACTCATTTATATATTTTCCATGGCTGGTTTCATGCATCATTGGCAGAGGCTGTGTGGCCTATAAAATCCAAACTATTTACTATCTGGATATTTGTGGGAAAAGTTGACAGATCCTTGTATTAGAGGAACAGGAAGAAATATCTTCCCAGGTAGAAAGAAACTTGAATTTAATTTAACTTGAATATTTAACTTGAATAATTTAACTTAATTATTTAGAATCCTTTTGCCTGTAAGTAACAGAAATTGACTTCAGTAATGTGGAGAATTAAAGGTAGCCATAAACTCTTTGGTACTTTCCCATCAAGAGGTGGAATGTACGCCATCTCCTCTTCAATCTGGGTAGCATTTACACTGCTTCAACCGATAGAATATGGCAGAAGTGCTTCTGCGCCAGTCCAGGCTTGGGCCTGAAGAGACTGGCAGCTTCCACTTCTTGCCTCTTAGGACTTTCTCTGAGAACCCTGAGCCCCATCTAAGAAGCCTGGCTACCTTGAGATGGCCATCCTGGAGAGGCCACATAGACATGCTCTGGATGAAGTTCCCAGCTGAGCCTAGGCATCTAGCCATCACCACCAAGATGCCAAATATGTGAGAGAAGCCATGTTGGACTCTTCAGATCAGTCCATTAGCCAGCTGAATACCACCGAGTGAGTTCAGCTGATGCTACACAAAAAAGAATCACCTGAGCCCTGCTTGACTTTTGGCCCACAAAATTGTGAAATATTACAAAACAGATGCTGTTTTATGCCTCTATGTCTTGGGATAATTATTTCATAGCAATAAACAACCAGAACTAATAACAGAAAATTTTACTGTCCTACATAAAAAGTTCAGAGATAGATCAGTGTCCATGCACACTATATCCTCATACTGCTTTTCCACAATTCCTTTGGCTTTGCTCTCTGCTTTGGGTTGGTTTCACCATCAGGATAGTAGCAAGGTGGCTGCAGTAGTTCCAGGAGTCTCATTCAAACCTGATAGTGTCCACAGTCAGAAGAAAGAATGTTCTCAGAAGAGAGAATATATGTAGGCTGTCAGTATCTACCCTGGAATTAGGGATGGAGTCTCCTCCTCAAGGTTACAGGGGAGGAATGAACACCTGGTCAAAACTAGCAGAAGGAAGATAAGAAGAAAGTAGGGAGGAAGTAGGCAAATGGATATTGGGTCAGCAACCCATCGTGTTCAAAGTACCTTTCTTCCTACAATCATTCATCCATTCATTTAGAATACTTTATGTTGAACCATATGAATATGCTTTTTAAAAATAAGTCAAACAAGAGATACCTGGCTGTCTCAGAGATTGAGTGTCTGCCTTTGGCCCAGGGTATGATCCTGGAGTCCCGGGATCGAGTCCCACATCGGGCTCCTTGCATGGAGCCTGCTTCTCTCTGCCTAGGTCTCTGCGTCTCTATCTCTCTGTGTCTCTCATGAATAAATAAATAAATGAATAAATAAATAAATAAAAATAAGTCAAACAAAAAAAGTCAAACATGGTCAAATTTCAAATGGCTATTATTAATATTCATTAGGCCTTTATACAGTAGCAGGTATGGTGCTAGACACTAGGGCCACCACGATTAAATGATACTAAGATAAAAGAAAGGAAAGAGAAGGACCTTAGATATAATCTAAGAGCTATATAGAACCCAGTCAAAATGGAAATGGATAGCCCCTTGTTCAAAAATTATTAAGAATTTCAAGACAGCAGGGGATCTGGGCAGCTCAGTTGGTTAAGCATCTGCCTTTGGCTCAGGTTGGGATCCCATCCATAGTCTTAGAATCGAGCCCTAAATCAGGCTCTCTGCTCAGCAGGAAGTATGCTTCTCCCTCTCCCTCTTCCTCTGCCCCTCCCCTCTACTCATGCTCTCTATTTTTGCTCTCTTTCTCAAATAAATAAAATCTTAAAAAAATTTCAAGATGGCAATAACACAGTATTAAACCAAACATGCAGTCCTTCACAGCACAGGGCTCTCTGGGATTACACAGGGTGCATGCCCATGAAGCTGACCCTGGGAACGAACAGCTGTCCACAAGAAAGGACAGCAGGGGCCTAGGTTAAAGGGGGTCCAGGAGCCCTCCATGAGGAGACGGTGTCTACATGAGGACCAAAGAATGATTAAGGAGTGGCCAGGTGAAGAACCAGAAGGAACATAGCTCCCCAGCAGAAGAGTAGTGTTCTTCCTCACTCTAGGTTGGCTGAGAGACTTAGAGTGGCCTGTCTTCTTCAGTTGTGTTGAGACAAAAAGATAAAGGTAACAGATACCTTCCCTGTCTGTGCCAGCTCAAGCCTGTTTCCCAATCCTTTTCTGTGTTCCAGATCTTAGCACTTGGGTAATCTACCCATATAATCTGATCCTTCCCCTCCAGCACTAGAGATATGAGGAGAGCCCTAGAGGGGCCCTGTTCCCTGCAGAGCTCAATTGTAAGTGCTTCCTAGGACAACAGTCCAAGCTTCCTGATCCACTTGGCCCAGGCTTGTCATGAACAGGGAAGAGTTCTCCCTATCCTCACATGGGCTAACTGCAAACCGTAAAGACCTCAAAAGAATTTTGTCACCAAACCTGAATCTTTTCCCTAAAAGTACCCTAACTCATTTTTAGTTCTACAATGTTCTTTTTCTATATCAGATCCTATGGATATTTGATGTTAGTGGGCCTCCCAAGTGGGTTGTAAATAGAATCAGATGAGAAGCTTATTAAAAATACAGATGCCTGAGCCTCATGCCAAACCCAACTCCTCTATTTTTAACAAGTTCCACAGGTAATTCAGAAGCTCTGCCAGTCTCTGAACCATCGCTTCAGCAAGCTGGAAAAAATGAGGAAATAATTTCTATTTGGCTGTAGGAGTCCAAAGGTTCATTTCTGTCATTAAATGTGACCCCTGTAGCCAAGCTATAGTATTTCCCCTGACCCCCCGGGGATGCGCTCCACGACCCCCAGTGATACCTAAAACCACAGATAGTATTGAAATCTATGTATGTTTTTTCTATGTTTTTATATATATTTATAATCTATGATAAAATTTAACTTATAAATTAAGCACAATAAGACACAAACAACAAAAATAAAATAGAACAATTATAACAATTGACTGTAATAAAAGTTATGTGAGTGTGGTCTCTCATCATCTCTCAAAACATGGTGTTGTACCAGATTCATCCTTCATCTCGTGATGATGTGAGGTGAGAAAAAGCCTGTGTGTAAGATGAAGTGAGGTGAATGACACAGGCATTGCAACATAGCATTAGGCTACTAGTGACCTTCTGACATTAAATCAGAAGGAGGTTCATCTGCTTATGGACCGTGATTGTCCACTGGTAACTGAAACTGTGGTAAAGTGGGACTACTGTACCTTAAGTCAGTACCTCAATTTCGCCAGCAAATAATCTCCCCAGTACATCTTTACCCTGGACGCTCTCCAAAGTGTAAAACTCTAGTTACCTTCCCATTAATCTAGTCTCCCCTTCTAGGGGCAGCACCTCAGTCTCCCCAGGCAGCTAACCACCCCTCTCCTACAGTAGGTAGGCTTGGAAGGAATGTTAGTCAAGGTGCTCTGAGGCACCTTAGCTGACCAGTGGACCCAAGAGCCACGTTTGGCTAAATAGATTTTCTCTCTCAGGAAATTAAATCTTGAGACGAGTGAAATAGAGACCAAAAGTAAATGAGGTTGATTCATCTGGTACAAGTGACAGCAAAAATCTGTCTGTTGGTTCCTGTTCCCAAAGTAATCCTGGTTCCTGTGCTTTCTGAAACCTGGTTTGCCAAGCTTTTTCTTGGGATTTGCCAGCAACCCCACTGCCCATTTCTTTTGAGTAAGCGAGCCAGAATTGGTTCTGTTGCTTGCCACCAAAGAATCCTAACAGATTCTTAGAACTGAAGTCTTTGATAGCATTCTATATGATAATGATGTCAGAGCTTCCACTCTTATGAAGCCGTTATGAATGACACTCTTATAATTAAAGTGGCCATTCTACATGAAGAGTTTATTTT